TAAGGGATGCTAAAATATGTGGAAGATCTACGATGGCATTAAGAGATTCAGATAGCTTCATTGAAGACAATTTGGATGCCCGAAGTATCGCGATGACAAAATCCCACCACTTCTTCCCAGTTTACCCCATAGCACGCTCATCCTTCATATGGGTATCAGTGGTTGGTTTATCGAAACCCATTTCTGGCTTAATACATGCCTAACAAAAAATTTCATTTATTATGATGTAATTACCAGATTCACATATGTGATTACAAGTAGTATTATGGCTATAATGCACGGAATAAGGATTGCTGCTAGGCTCCAGTATATTGTTCGAAGCAGCACGATGGCGTCCTTTCTGAAACGCTCCGGAATTAGTAGTAAGCTGAAGGAACCGTACGTTTTTGGGATTAGCCTACGAGGCTAAGAGGGGTGCAGCCACATCACGAGCACTTATCATCACGCCTATAACGGTTGAAGGTGTTATCACAATCGAAACATCACGTCGGGTTCATTTCATTGAAGATGCTGGTTTGACAGGTAGTCATTCCTACCTTACACTTTGTCAGGGGGGAGGGGAAGCGCTCTATAGGAGAAGGTTCGTCCAGGAGAATGTTTGTCTCCATAGGCATGATGACCATATGTATTCATGACGCAGTCTTACACTTCTAAGTGTAACACACCAGCATGGCCATAGGTTGTGGCCTATTGAGCTTGCACACGCCAATTAAGTTACTCGGGGCCCTACTACTGTCCGAAACTACTAGAGCTACTCAAAAACTTACTGGATATACAGCCATGTTCGACGTCTAACACAGATTGAGCGCCATACCATCACTAGCGCGAGGCACAGGTATGACGAAAATGAACCTCTTCACCAACAAACAGACCTATCGTGATGTTGTTTTATCATAAATTTTATGTTATCAGCTCCATTCCACATATACAATCACCTTATGATCTGTTCTCGTTGAATTGCTCTCACAATTTGGTTGTAAGAGAAACTAATGCAATGATTCTTTCTGGAATGCTGTACTTCTCAGTAGTCATTCATTTTGTTGCGCGTCACATTGCTGAGACCTTCTTTCAGCAACTTCTCGATCGTGGAACGCTGCGCAGAAACTTTCATTGCGAGGGTTTACGCAGACGTTTAATAAGATGATATGGCTACTTGAACAGTTCCTGTGTTTTCGAAGTCTTCGGAAATTTTGAAAGTACCCAATGGCAAAGTGACTGCAAGCGCCAAATGGGGCGCCCTATGCTTCGCAGCCACCCTGTATATGTCTGTATGGTTGTACGTTTGTGTATAATATATTATATTATATTTACTGTTACTCGGGGTATATATATTATTTACTACATGAATATATTATTAATATATTATATGTGTACGTAAATAATATAATATTGTTATATTATTTACGTACACACACATGAACATATATTTGTATATATGTTCATGTGTGTGTGTGTCCCTTCTTGTTACTACCACGCCCACATAAAATTGTCCATGGCAATTATTGCGTACTTCCTTCAGTTTTAACGCTATGCTCTTACCAGAGGGATCCCGAGTGATTACTTCAATTAAAGTGCATAGACTACAGGAAAATTTGCCCAAGTTGGTCTCTCAAAATCGTTGTTCCGTAGGTGTTAAAAGGTAGAACGTTCCTTTCCTTCGATAGAAAACGTAGGAGTAGGTTAGTTACGAGCCACATGATGAGGATACCCGTACTTTCGAAGTCTCCCATATGTAGTTGTCATTCACCTATGTTTAGTCAACTTGGCGCTTGGTAAATATAGTATATAATGTCTGAAAGTGAATATTCTTCGTGTCTTTAAGTTTTCATTACTGAGACAAAACAACTGCGAGGACACGAAACAACGAATATGAACATTTATCAATGCCAAGTAGTCTTAATCGCATAAGTCACATGCACTCGAGAAGGTAGCCTCCTTTTGCCCCATCTTGGCACCCCTATGTCCCCAAAGTTCTTTTGCATCAGAAATCGGACATCTAAAAAAAGAAAACCATCAGACTCTCTTCCAACGAATCCTCTGAAAGATCCTCCTCTCACTTCGGACGATCTTTGCACTTGTTCGTCACCAGTAGGAGCGGCAGTAGAAGTAACTCTTTTGCTGGTTGCGGGCCAAGTGGTCATGTGAGTCGTTGGCTTTACTGTAGTTGGACGAGGCTTGTCTGCCGAGACTAAACTGGTTCAATGAGGCTTCGCCAAACCCAGGCGTACATCGTATTACCGTATCGGTAGCGCAAAATGGTTTTTGATAAATAAATCTTATTCCATATTATTATGGGTACTCGATTAGTGTGGGAACGAAGTCTGGTTCCTGCTGCGTCTGGAGAGCAGAACCTAGACAAACAATCATCAGGCAGATATCAAGAAATGGGCTTTTGATACCTTAGTGTGAATTCAGATTTATAATAAAAAAAAACTACCTGTAACCAGTGAGCTGCTGATTCTTGTTTGTCTTGATTTCTACCCCAGCGTATGGACAGCCATCGACAGCAAATTTTTTAGAGAAGTATTTAAGCTTTATCTCGATTTCGGTCCCTTCGGGAGACTGAAAAAAAGAAAGTTACAGTATTTAACAACTATAACAGTCTCAATTATCGTTATCGCCGTTTCCGACGGCTTTGCAGAAGCATATAGTTCCGTGAGAAAGATTGATTCTGTTACATTCAATTTTTCCTTAAAAAATAATGACTCCCAAGTTTCGCTAGGAACACGCAGCGTACTTGGATCCAGTAGTTGCACTTGTTGTACTTTTCCAGAACTCGACGAACGGTACGATTTCCTAGAACATTACTGAGAGTTTTCCAATTTTTTGATGCTTCAATTGTCTTTCCGCATCCTTCATCAGGCTATAAAAATAACTAAAACCTTGTGATCCTGGCTTAAGATGTTCTCATACCCTCTCAGTGCATCGCCTTCCAGCATATCCGCCCGGACATACGCACTTCCAACAAAAGCGTGGGTGAGGATATCCACCGTTCTCACACCTCACGATTGCCTTACCATCGCACCATTCTGGAAATGAAAACAACAGACTTTTTTCGAGTTTGTTCCTCCTGGAGGTGCACAGAGGGATCAGAAAGGAGTTAAGATAACTGGGTCTTTCTTTTGTGTCCTATTGCGCTGCAACGTTAGTGAGGGCTCAGGTCAAATCGGCATGAATTTTGAATCTGTATGCTACGGCTCGTTGTTCTCAACTTGGGGTCGCCGAGCCAAGGGAATGTGCTTGGTCTTTTTTACGAGAATTGTCTGCATTGTTAATTTCATTCGTTGCCTCATGTTCGACTTGCAATTTTCGATTTGTTTGGGCGCATCAAGAGTGCAACTTAAATAAATAAATCAATGAATAAATATACTTTCATAAAGTTTTCGATCAATTTCTCCTACTGACTTTTGCATCCATAGAGCTCGTTCAGCATTGAGATGTCAGTGAAGGAAACAAATGGTGACCCGAGAGTTTTCTGGTAGTCAATGTCGAATGGCACTAATGCTGGTTGTGAACGGTTGATCGATGCGCTTCAATAGATATTTGTTAATACAAAAATGATACTCCTAAGCGAATATATCCGATACTGTAAATTAGTCAAAATACTTTTGTTTGGCCAAGTGAAATAGGTATAATAAAACCGATAATGAAAATTCTACAGGCTCACGTCGATCCTTTGTAATGCATAATGCTACCGTAGTCGTAATCTAAGCCGAAATTGTGATTCGTCTCTGGCGTCTGCCTTGCGAATTGACTAATCCAAGAACGCTGGAAGAAAATGCTATTATTGACGTTTTATCGATTTTGCCCTCCTCAGTCATACCTTGATGTTTGGCAAATTTATGATAACGTAATGATCGCGATCGTGCCTTGACATAGTGTGGTAGAACCCGAGAGTATGACCGATCTCATGGGCGGCGATAGCAGCCTTCTCACATCCCTTTCCCAGCGATGTCTGTTGAAGGCCTCCTGATTTTCCTACATACGACCAACATCCATCCTTTGCTTGCACTATTAGTCGATCCTTAGCTGGGAATACAGTGTTTCAAAGTCAACCCTGTCGTTCACGAAGAAGGCAGCGCACCAAGCGAACCTCCCGTCAAATCAGGCTGGAGCTAATTTGATTGTTCAAGTGTTCACTCGCAACTCATGATGATTTTCGCAAGCTCCTTTAGGGAAGTCAAACTTGTGAATGAAACAAACATGTTCTCACCTGTACCGTAAGGATCATATCTAAACTTAACACATGTGTCTTTTGACCACAACCTCGCTCCCTCTATGAAGGCTTTGCGAGCTTTTGCGCCTGTAATTATTTTTTGAGAAGTTCAATTCCTCCACTTCAGAAGATTACTTTTATCTTACTTAGAGTTTCGTTGAAGGTGTAGTTCACTCCATTTGTCCAATATTTTAGACCAGACGGGTCTCTTAGTGCTTGACGTTTAGTGCGGTCGAAACCTCTTAATTCTTCTTCGATATCCGTGATGATAATCCAAGCTTGCTCCCTTGAGCATACATTTTCGCTCGAATTAATGTCTTTTCAGGTTAACGAAACGTACTTGTCGAGAACAATGTCACTCTGGAAAAGTTCTCTGTCGATTTTGCTTTTTTCGTTGATCTCGTCAACGGAGTCCCCGCTCGGGTCAATGCTGTCATGCTCGAGATTTGATACTTTCTGAAAGAGTTGCTGAGTAATAATTTTTACACAAGAGCTTATTATATGATAGATGCTGTTTCAATTCTAACTGCGTGAGAACTGTCCCTGCTGGTAGTCTTAGTACAAAATTAGAATGGTGAAAACAATGATATCAATTTTGCTTTCGCTTCGTGAGAATAGTTGGGGTTCTCGGCATTTTTCTTACTTTTGATGCCTCCTGTCCATGTCTTTGAGATATACTTCTCATGCAGGTGTACGAGTACTTCCGAAATGTACCTCCTAAGCCATCTTGGTCAGTTGGCTATTAAATGAGTGTAAGAGCCTCTTTCAATTTTTCATTCTCAAGCACGCTAGCTTTACACGCGGTCAGCCCCACCCATTCCAGAATTAGAAGATTTATTCACAACATCGTCTTCAAGGCGGGATCGCGACAATGAAGGGTTGTTACCTGAAGGCGTTGCTCGAGAGATCTCATTATTCCAGGCGTGATGTCGAAGGTATTGAGCACTTCATATCGCATGCCTCTGATTTTTTCGTTGATTTCCGAAACATCTACACCGAAAATCTACAATAGCGAGGCCAATTCCGAAATATCCATAAAAATTGGAAACAAAAATGTTGAAGGTCCTAGAAATCAAAAAGAAACCTCTTGGGTGTTGGTGGTAGTGTTATCCTCAACACTTATAGTGGCATGCGAGAGCAATGTGAGCAAGATGATTATCATCATCTGAAGTTTCTTCAATCTCAGAACTGTTCAAAAGTGCATATGAATAGCACAGCAGTTTAAATGCAGTTGCCTTTAATTACACGGCAACATCGAAGTTTCTCTCAATTTCCAAATGACCCTAGATAGACTGTTTAAGTATTCCGCTGGTTCCTATTCTGCAAAAAATATCTATTCCCAAAGCAAAGTTCATGGCAATTTCAAGGTTCCAATCTCAAGCTCAGTAAGGGAGTGCTAATAATGCAAATAATGCAAAGAAGGTGGAGAGCAAAACGCAAAAACCAGCGACATTTGAAAAATATAAGTAAGGGTATTGAGAGGTAGTGAAAAAAAGAGCGTACCAGATCACGACGGCGAAGGCGCCATAGGAAGGATATTCGAACGAGATGTCAGTTGTGTGCGATTGCAAGCATGCATTGAATATAGCAATCAAAAAGCACAAAAAATTGCCTTCCACTGCCGCCATGGGTTAGGATGCATGCATGTGAAGTTTTCAACTTTATGTTGTTATTCTCTGCTGCAGATGACATTTTGCCATTTTGTTAATATTATTCTTTTGTTCCGATGCATTTTGCAAATTTTGAATCGAATTTTCAGCATAACTGCATCATTGCGAACGGTGTGGTATCTGCAAGGTCGTCAGAAGGCGGTCAACGCTGAGTGTAAAGTAGAATGGAGATGCTTGTTAATCTCTTGTTACGCACTACCCAAGCGTTTTTCGATCCGAGTGTAGGATAAAAGCATACTTGGGGTTACAGATCATCCTAGAAGAACCATCTATATCGGAACTGTGTAATTGACCTTTGAGGGATTGTCATGTACTAACCTCTGAAAAAATAAACTTCTGACAACGAATCTATTCGCCCCACAGGATTCGAAACCACTTGCAACTTCCAAAGCTTAGGCACGAATGTGTTTTAAAAGGCAAGCCTATCAAGGTGTATTAGACAAGAAAAAGTCAAGTGAAGCACGCTTTTCGATAGACATTCGAAATACTTAACAAGAAAGGATAAATTAAGGGTAGTTTGCGATTGAGATGAGAAAATCTAGAACGAGGACGCATAGAGCTGCCATGTGCTCTATTTTTATACCAGCTTTGTATAACACATTGATTCATATTTGTGCTCGAAAGACTGTGGAAACAGTGCCTTTCCGAAAGAATCAAACAAGCTTTTTCAAATATTGCATTTTGTATGTTCGACGCTCCTCTCTCTTTCTATAGTGACTTCTGTTTTCTTCTACTTTGCTCTTGTGGTTTTTTATCAGCTTCTCAATTGATTTCACTTAAACGACGCATTAATCGCCATTGAATAAGTTTCACCGGTAGATCAAAGACTTATCAGCGTGCTGTAGATGCAATATCCTCCGGTACCGATCGCTCGTTTTTCTGATTGCCCTACGTATCCATGCTGATGGCGTTCGTATTCGTCCAGGATTCTGAATACGTGGGTAACCTACCCGTTGATTTCGAGAAGAAAGCCGCTACCACAGGTTAGAGTCGTATCTATCCCGGCCCCCTGTCCTACTGTGTTCCGCACTTACACTGATCCACTAACTGCAAAATCGATATACATCTAATGCTAGTAGGAAGCGAATCCCAAGATCCATTCCGCCTGTCAGATTAGTACCTGAACCGTGAATGTAAGTTTTTGCTGCACGCTTCCGTAATTCAATGAGCAACGTCTAAGCAACTTCCTCTTTCTGAGAAAGTGAAGACATCGAAAAAACGCACTAGTAGTGATAGTGATTCTGATGATGTGACTTATAGAACACTCCTGTATTAAGCAAATAACCTGTCGGTGCAGGTTCAACGTCGATAGATATTTTGTGGTCTAATTGCCTCTTCCGACGTATTTAGTCACATCATACGACACAGCATTTGCAACTAATTAATAGTTATGGTAGTTGTTTCGTAATGGTCAGGAGCGAAGAAAAGGAGGTAATGATTGCATCAGAGTAGATGTTTGCCAAACAGTCTTCACGATTTCATGTGACTGACAAGCTAGGCTGTTTTTGTAATTGCTGGTCCAAAACAAACGATTGCGAAAAATGCCGAAGCAATGCATCAGAAAAATATGGAAACCTTCATTGTCATTCTTCTAGAGCACGCATGTTTGCTGTTGCTCAAGTGGCTGGACTGAGTTAGCACACCCACCGTACACTGATATACACCTCACCGGTATCACCTGTCGTCCCGTTGATGGAGCAGGCGCCAGTAATGTCTCTATTCGTCCCTGTCGTGAACAAGTGTAGTCCGATGGTGCTCAAAAAGCCAATACGTGATATTCCTTTCGTTCAGAGCCATCGCGAAGAAGTCTGACCATTCCGCTGGCGGCCGTTCGAGTGTTCGTCTGACGTCCGGAGGGATTCAGTTAGCCGCCTGAATCTAACGATCATCACCAAATTGCATGGCGTGTCAGGTCTATATGATCTTCGATTTCTTAGCGGTGGTAACAGCGTATTTGCTAACCCATAGAAAATAACAAAGCCAAAGAGGTTAGCGATGCAAACGTATGGAACAACACACTATACGATCTGGATAGGACAATACGGTTATGTGGTCTTTTGCCTGACCGGCGTGCCGCGCTCGACGCACCCACATGGCGCAAATTGCGATGGACGATTTGAGCGCGTAATGTCTTCTGCAGATTTGAATGGTTGCAGCACCCTCTCAATGTGCGATTACGGCTGTAGTTTGATGCTGCAAAAGGCTGTTTGCACATCTCGACGTCCGTCCGTCCGTCCGTTCAACGCGTGCTGTGACGGAGGTCGTGTGCTTGCGCAACCGCGGTTCTAGAGAGGTGTTGTCAGCCTTTTGTGTTGACGATATTCGGCGCTGCCAACACCTTCCTAGAACCGCGGTCGCGGCACCCACGCGACCGCCACTGCAGCACGCGTTCAACGGACGGACGAACGTCGAAGTCTGAAATCAGCCAAACCCCGCTGAAAATTTGCCGCGTGCGTGATTGCGACCGCGAGAACTCGGGAGACTCTTGAGGCTTTTGCTTGCATTTGTCCACGCAACTCTGGTCTCTCGGGACGATTTCTTGAGTAGGTGGGGTATTCGATAATAATCTGGATCTTAGTGTCAATCACTAGCCAACCGTTTCAGCTTTGATTTTGCATAATTTTTTTGCTATTCATCGCCTGTAAAAGACGTTTTGTGGTCTATCACAATGACTGACGGCCAAAGAGAAACACATTAAGTTACTAGTTTATACAAAAGGGGCATGAATAGCAACACAACAAAAGGTTGAATACATACATAGGTAACAAACAATACTTGTAGCTCTTAGAACATTTTTCCTCTTCCGTATTGTTGAGCATTAGAATGCAAGTGCTCAGACTCCGAAGAATGACTTCTGTCCTTCCCGATCGGTATAAATTCTTGCTCGCCCTCAGTTGACTGTGTACCCTAAGAAAATATTTCTTTGTAAGGCAAACTTTTCTGTCGCAAAAGGACGAAGTCGAAGTCGAACTGCTATAATATCATACATACATATTGTCGTCGTGTGCGGCGGTGTTTCCATTCTTCTCTCTACCGTATTTTTGCCATTTCCTACTCGTTCTTTTTTTTGGTATTTATTTTAAATATTGGTATTTCATTATTTTCTAAGAATATTGCCCTCATAGATTTTTTACTTGCCTTCCTTGTATCCTTTGCTTCTTCCGGGGCTAAATTCCTTTTCTCCTGCCTTCTGTGATAAATTTTCGCCTATATTGATTCTCGATGGCTCGTGGGTCACAGAGCAAGACGGCGGATAGGGACCAGGATAAGGATCTCCCACTCTGGGCCTCTTTAATGTTGGAACAGTTCGCCTCTTCTGCCGATCGAATCGAAAAGGCCCTAACATCCTCCCTAGCCAAATTGACTGATGGCATTGAAGAGGTTACACGGCGTCAGAGCGAAATCATATCTCGCCTTGATGCATTGGAGGAGCGCGTGACCAGCCTGCAGAATTCGAGTCCACTGGATCAAAACCTTCTTTACTCTACCCTCGTCAAAGTGAAGGCCGATAGCGACAAAATCGAAGGTAAACTTAGGCGCATAACCTGGGTTGGAATAGGAGAACAGGCTGACGAACACTCGACGAAAAAATTCGATCAGGAAGCTCTACGTGAGGTGATTCTCTCCTCTGGTGACGATGAGCTTATCGAGGAATTCTCAAAAGGAAGAATAACGGCTCATC